CCTCAGCTTCCAAAGTTCCCAGGACTAATTTTTTTTATGTTTTATAGAGATGAGGTCTCCATGTTGTCCAGGCTGGTCTCGAACTCCTGGCCTCAAGTGATCCTCCTGCCTTGGCCTCCCAAAGTGCTGAATTTACAGTTCAAGGCACCGTGCCTGGCCTAGGATCAACTTTAAGAGAAGGAAAATATTAGAAACACATTCGGTGCCCCTCAGTATACATCTACAAGCTACCCTTTCTCTCTCCCAAGTGATAACCACCATCATGAATTTGATGATTGTTCTTAAGGAATGTACATTCTTCTATGTTTGCCACGTGCATTCTTTATTTATCCTAAACTACCTGTTATTAGCTTCCTGGTGTTTTGCCTCTGTAGAAATTTATACAGAAAATCCTCTTACTTTTGCATATTACACTGTTGGTATTTCTAAAGCCAGACGTGTAGCTGATAAACAATTATTTTGAGATAGCTCATGGTGGATATTTCAACTTAGAGCTGCTTCCTTTTCACAGTTCAGTTTTGGTTTGCGCTGAGTCAGTGCTTTCTTCGGTATGTTCTTCCCCTTTGCTTGACTTTGCTAGTTCACTGGGAACCCCGGATCTAGAGTTTCCACCTGCCATTGTCAATAGAGAGTTTGGGTTCTGCCTTCACAACTGACAGATGTCTTTTCCTTACGAGTAGCAACAGCTGTGCATAGCCATTTTTAATGCTAGTAAAATATTCAGGGAAAAGGTAGATGTTCTACACAAAGCATAGTGAAAACTGATTTGTTTATTCAAATACACATCAACTAACATGTGACAGACATTGGACTAAGCACTCACAATAAAATAATGAAAAGAAGTGATATAGTTCCTATCTTTTAGCAAGCTTGAATCCTGATTGGGAAGACAGACCAAACATAAAACATAAAAACAAGAAAAAAATATTAAGGCATGGAAATTATGGCAGATTCTAAAAAGTCCTATCAAAAGAAACAAAATTTTGGAGAGAAAAAATGAGAGAAGAGGACTTATGTTAGATGAGGGGGATAGTGGACCCCTGCTCTGAAGAAAGAACGTTTAAACTGAGACTTAAGTGCAGAGAAGCATTTAACCAAAAGTGGGAAATGAGAGGTGGTGACCAGTATGAAGCTCTGAGTCAGGACGGAACTTGATGTGTCCACTAAATGTGATCAGGACCCGAGAGAGTGACTCAGGTTCCTAAAATACACAAACACCAAGGTTGCCACCATGCCCTTTATGAAATTTAGGAACTGGGGCTGCACAGCAGGAGGTGAGGGGCCGCGGGTGAGCCAGCAAAGCTTCATCCCTAATTACAGCCACTCCTCCCCTCCCCATCGCTGGCATCCCCCCTCCTCCCCGCCGCGCCCTTCCGTGGAAAACTCGTCTTCCGTGAAACCAGTCCCTGGTGGCAAAAAGGTTGGGGACCACTGCTTAGTGGATTCATATCCCAGATATAATTTACTCTCTTCAATGGTTGTAAATTAATGTTTAGTATAATATGAAAAATATTTCATGGTATTGTTTGTGTAGAATTACAGATTTGACAGTTAGTGGGCAAGGGATTTAGCTCATGATGATAGAAATTAATAATTAATAATGTATTTTTTCCCCTACAAGAACATTGAAAGAGTTTTCGTTTTTAAATCCTTTGAGCTTTTTTCCCCATCACCATTTGGCTTTATTTAAAATCAAAGATCTAAATCACCTGGTTAATAGGGCAATCCAGGTAATTGTAGTTACAGTTAATACGTTACATAATTTTAGAGTTCAATTTAATTCGGTCTTAGCTTTTCAGACGTTCTTAAATACATTTAAAATCAAGCTTGTTTGGAAGTACTACATTGTGATTAATTAAAGTATTTTATTTTTATGTTACTAAATAATAAAACTTTTTATGTTACTATGAATTATGTTGATTTATAATGATTAACAATCTATTTTATGCTTTTTGGGGATGATACACTGATTTAGAATGTATAAACTAATCTTTACTGTGATGGGTTACCATCTGAAATATTTAAACATCAGTTTAGGACTATATCAAACAATTTTTTTTAGTACTGGTGATAAACTTATTGTAAACAAGTTCACTTAAGATGGTTTCTAAGAAACTATTCATTCTGAGCAATATGGCTTAGAACAGGATGCTCTAATACAGTATGGTTTCCAAGTAAGAATGTCATAATACTTCTAGGCATTTTGCATGTAAGACGGTGAGAACCTATGAAATAACTGAGCGGTATCGCTATTTTGGTTGTGAAAGTTGACAAGAAAGTAAAATGCAAAACCCCTGAATTTATGACACAGCTTTTGAACCATACCATGTACTCAACCCCTTCTCTCTCTTGTGGGTCTTATCATATAATATCTATATTCAATCTCTTTTCTCATCTCAGACAGTATTACTGAAGTCTTCACTAACATCTACGTGACCAGTTTTGGCCCTGTCTCAGATACAGACATGGTGAGTTTTTCATTAAATAGTCTTTTTACTGCATATAACGGGAAGTGGGGGAGGGTAGAATAAACTGATGTTTTTGGTGTTGTAGAATTACGTATCTGTCTCATATCTATTTAAGTCTGCCCAAATCTACGGAGAGGTACAGATGTTAACCTGTTTGTGGTGCTCACTTCCAGCTTGAGTGTTCAGATTAGCCTTTTATATTTTTTTCAAAACTTGTCTACCTAGCTACAATGTGGTAAACAATTGTTTAAATATAAATAATCTTATCATGAGAACAATTTTCTAGGATTAAGGCATCAGTGTGGACTTCCATAAATAAAGTCTGTACAATTTCATAGACAAACGAATGATTTCACGGTCTGTGTTATACATAAACAATTTCTGGTTGGCGTTGAGCAAGGTGAGTGCCTTGTCATACCATCTATATACATGTACATATAATCTGCACGCTTAGTATACATATATAAATCAATCTAAAGAAAATGAGAATGTTGATACTCTTGGATTCCATGGAACTAGTGTTATTAATATTTATTTTTCTTTAAAATGAGATGGGTAGGAGAGAGAAATCAGAAGTCTGGTGTGTTAGAAATATTTATTTTTCTTTAAAATGAGATGGGT